TTCGGCGGATGAGATTCTCTCCATCATCGTATTCATCAGCATATGGTGTTCATCTGAGATGGCCGCTCACCCCACCAACCCCCTCAGAACATCCGATCGCACACCAGACGGTGCCGGCCCCTTTTGTCTGCTCTCTTCGGGAGCCGGACACTGGGAGCTTCGGGGGTCAATGGGATTATCTTCTAGCCTCACCGGACTCGGAAAGGCCCTCCGCGATGACACTTCGGCGTCACCCGCTTCCGGAGCGGAGGAGTCCGGAGGAGGCGTTTCGCTCTCCATCATCTCTGGAAGAAGATCCCCCGAAGACGAGCTCATTTGCGAGGGGCTAAGGCCCGAACTGCAAAAATAAATGAGGTGGTTATTTTCTCAGAAGAAAAAGAGGGCATACCTGTACTATTAAAGTATTTCGGGTCACTTACGACTCGCTGGAGAATTGATCCCCCTGCGGACTTTGTGCGGCAAAAGCACCCCCCAAGGTAGGACCCTCTGTGGGAGACTTCTTCTCCCGTTTGGAAGCTTCGGCTTCCGAATCCCCGGGCGCAGTCCTTTTCCTCCTCCGGTCGTCTTCCTTCATGGAGACGCTCGCTCCCTCGGTTAGAGTGGGCAGCGTTGGGGGCCCGCGTCCGCCCGTATTATCCTCCCTAGTATCTTCTTTCAAGGGCTCCGGGCAAGGTGCGACCTGGAGCATCTTTTCCAATACCGGATTCTCCAAACCCTCAGGGAGGGGGACCGAACACCGAATCAACTTCGCCTTTGTCAACCAGCCCTAGTCAAAAAGCGAACTCTCAGAAATAACTTCGTAACAAGTGAGAGATAGTATGTTTGGTTGGAAGATTACTTACCTGTTCGGTGGCGCGGTTACTACTCAGGCCCACGTCCTCGGTGATTTCCGGACACTCTACCTGAGGTCCGAAGAATGACTTGTACATCTCCTCGTGCGTCAGGCCGAGGAAATTTTGAATGACACGCGGTCCCTCGGGATTGAACTCCCACAAGCGAAGGGGCCGGCGTTTGCAAGGCTAGACTTGACAAACCAGCATAACTTGTATTACCGCAACCAAACTAAAATCTCCATTGAAGAGATATCGAATGCGGCTTTGCAGTATAGGCACGTCCTTGGCTGGACCCCGGCTCAGACCTCTGCTGATCCATGACATCAGTTGTGATGGAGGGCCCGAGCGGAAAACAGGGGCGGCCGCCCACTTGGCACTTCTAGGAGCCGTGATGTAAAACCACTCCTGTTGCCACAATTCAGACACCTCTGGAATGGAACCTTTGGGCCATGGAGCTCCCATCATCTTGCGTATTGAGGCACCTCCACATGCTGCATGTTGCCCCTCGATCATCTTCGGCTTTACTTCAAAGGTCTTGAGCCACAGGCCAAAGTGAGGGGTAACCCGGAGGAAGGCCTCGCACACGACAATAAATGTTGTGATATGAAGAAAGGAGTCCGGAGCTAGATCATGGAAATCTAGCCCGTAATAAAACATCAAACCCCTGACGAAAGGATCTAGAGCAAGGCCTAGACCTCGGAGGAAGTGGGAGACGAACACGACGTTCTCGTTGGGTTCGGGGGAGGGGACGGCCTGCCCTCGGGCGGGAAGCCGATGCACAACCTCGGCGGTCAGATATCTGGCCTCCCTCAACTTTTTGATGTCTTCTTCCGTGACGGAGGAAGGCACCCATCAGCCTTGAAGGCTAGATCCGGACATAATTGGAGGTTCGGAGCACCTGACCTGAACCTTGGGTGTTTGAGCTTGAGGTGGGGGAAGAATTCGATTGAGCACGGGAGGGAAAAAAAGTAAGAGCCTTATCCCTTTATAAAGAGGGTGAATATCAAGCGTCCTCTCCGTGGCTGTTTGGACTTGCCTATAGTCTAGGAGTCCTAGAAGCGGTTGGGTTACCCACGCCCGTATTGATGAGAATCCCGGAATAAGGGGACACGATCTCTGCTTTAACAAGACGTGCCAAGGAAACTGCCTCGCATGACGCGCTTAGGTGGGATAATAAAATGATTCGAATAAAGGCTTGGCCGTGGTGCGATGTCGCACTACGGAATACGTCAGCGGATTAGATCTGTGTAAATAATATTCTCTCTATGGCCATATGTGGAAACTTATTTTGCAGAGCCGGACACTATCTTTGTGTTTAGAATCTTCTATGGAGTATTTGGAGGAGGAACCCGCCTTGCAATGCCGAAGACAATCTGCACGCCGGACTCATCGTCATTGAAGCCTGGTTCAGGGGCTACTGAGGGAGTCCTGGATTAGGGGGTATCCGGATGGCCGAACTATGCCTTCAGCCGGACTCTTGGACTATGAAGATACAAGATTGAAGACTTCATCCCGTGTCCGGAAGGGACTTTCCTTGGCGTGGAAGGCAAGCTTGGCGATACGGATATGTAGATCTCCTACCATTGTAACCGACTTTGTGTAACCCTAACCCTCTCTGGTGTCTATATAAACCGGAGGGTTTTAGTCCGTAGGACAACATACAGAACAACAATCATACCATAGGCTAGATTCTAGGGTTTAGCCTCTCCGATCTCGTGGTAGATCTACTCTTGTACTACCCATATCATCAATATTAATCAAGTAGGACGTAGGGTTTTACCTCCATCAAGAGGGCCTGAACCTGGGTAAAACTTCGTGTCCCTTGCCTCCTGTTACCATCCGGCCTAGACGCACAGTTCGGGACTCCCTACCCGAGATCCACCGGTTTTGACACCGACACCCACAATGCGGCTATATCTCCCACGTGTCGGGGCACGACTTAGAGGCATAGCCGCATGGTAGGCATGTTGCAAGAGGGGTAATTTTTACACATCCCATGTACTGAACAAGAAAGGGGTAAAGAGTTGGCTTACAATCGCCACTTCACACACTACATGAATATAGCATTACATCATCCAGAATACAATCAAGGTCCGACTACGGAACCAAAATAAAGAAAGACCACCCCTGTTGCTAGGTCCCCGATCGCCCCGACTGGGCTCAGAATGGACAACGGACGCAACTGGGGGAACCCGGACGGATGCAAGTTTGAAAACATGATGATCCAATGCATATGATGACATGACAAGATGCAACACGCAAGCGAATGACATGGCAACGTCAGGGAAATAACTGGAAGACACCTGGCACATCAGTCTCGGGGCGTCACACCGCTGTCCCAAAGGGAGTCCCTTAAGTTCGTCCAATGCCCGGTTGAGACGGGTGTCCCACTTGGGCCTCATCAGAGAAGTAGGGTTTTCAGCTACAAGCTGGTGTTGCTTCTCCTGCAGAAGGAACGTGAAATGTTTACGAATGTGTAGTCGACTTGATCTGGAGCTAAATGTAAGATGGTAAAAGAATAATTACCAGTATTCTAATCAATCTCCTCGTGATATGTTCCATGTAAAAAACCTTCTTTTCCTTGTCCCACTTGTAGTGGGCCCTGATGAAGTCACGCTCCAAGGGGTTGGTGAACTTCGCGAAGGGGTCTGGGAGACCCGCGGCTTCACGTTCCGCATCCTCCTTATCCCATATGGGCCTTTTACCGAGGTAGCCACGGCTTTCGAGGTGATGCTTCCCTATGTTCCTTTGCTGGAGGCTCTTGAATTTCGCAGCCTTAGCCTTGGCTGCCTCGGTAGCGCAAGTGTCCTTAAACTTTTCGAACCCCTCTTCCGTAAGTGTCGGATTTTCCTCCAGAATCTTGGACAGGGGTTCCTCGGCCTCAATAGCTCGTTTCACCCTCCTTTTCCAGGAGGCCAAATCATTGTTGAACATGCCCATGGAGTGATTGTTAATCTTTTTCATCTTCAGATCATCTCACGGTTGTTCTATGCTATCAACCCGGTCGGGGAACTTGAATCTCTTGTGCAACTTCGTCAGGAGCAACTGCCTCAAATGTTCTTTACTCCTTAAGTCATCGTCGTTGATGCTCGCGCATTCCCGTAGGATGCATCCTACTTGGTTCCCATAGCACTTGCGAGGTTCTTCCGGCTCTAATGGCTCAAACTTGCCGGGTGCCATCTTTGTGATCACCAGTCGTCCAATGCCGAGTTTGTTAGGTTTTCGTATCCTCTGCTTCTTCTGCTTCTTCTTTTCGGTAGCGGCATCAGCGTCGGTACCTTCCCCGCCGGTCTCGGTGCTGCCATCGGTGCCGGCACCGTCGGTGTCGATGTCGGCGTCAGTATCATCATCGAGGCCAACCTGCAAACCTTGACTGTTCATAGTAAACAAAAAGTCGAGGTACTATTGTTCACCATCATAATCCATCTCGTCTGCATCTTGGTCAAAAGGCTCGGTGTCTTCGTTGTTTGACATGTTTCCTATGATTAAGTCTCCTCGTTTAATTCTAAAACTATGAAAAAAAATGAGAAATGACATAAAAAATATCTATGTTTGCTGGAATGTCGTTTCCCAGCAACTCCCGGCACTCGATATGCCTACTTTCTAGCACAAGTTATGCCAAAATTCACGGAAAATTTTGGCATGACCTTTGCTAAAAAGTGGACATATCAAGCGCCTGAAATTCACCGGAACGGAAATGAATCAACATTCCGGCATAACATAGGCCACTCGAATCATTTACCCTGCACATAATCATCATTTTCCAAATATGGCATGTCCAAAACATCACAAGTTATAATAGTGAACGGAGGGAGTATTAGACAGGCGGTCACAATCAACACTATATGCCAAACGTGATTATCTTTGGTAGCATTCTACAATACAAGATTTATCTTTTCAAGATTCTTACGAGCCTGAAATTACCAGGTATCGACAAGCTTCTGACCTCAACTATTGGGAAATTGACAAACATTCTTTGGCATGACTGTCCAATAGGGCAGTTTGAGAGGCAGAAATTGCTAAACCAGAAGGGTTATGTTGTGTGGATAGCGGGGTTAAGTGGTTCAGGTATTTACGAGCTGATCAAGTCAGTCATACACTAAACTGTGAAGCCTCTAATATCTTTGTAAGATCTCAACATTATACTTCAGGCAAAAGCACACTAGCATGCACACTGGGTCACGAGCTGCACTCCAGAGGTCATTGACCTACATTCTAGACGGTGACAATCTGAGGCATGGGTTGAACCGAGACCTTTGTTTCAAAGCAAAGGACCTTGCTAAAAATATACGCAGAGTAGGTATGTTTGGTCCGTTGAGAAATCTCAATACTGTGATCATTTTTTTCCTTGCAATTATACCATTTCTAAATGTGTTTATGTCCAATTTTTTAGGAGAAGTAGCAAAACTGTTTGCAGATGCAGGTTTGATCTGCATTGCTAGCTTGATATCACCCTATAGAAGTGAACGAAGCGCTTGTCGTAAATTACTGAACAATTCTACATTCATTGAGGTATGTTTACACACACTGTAACCATCTGGTCAATCTTATTATTAAGGTAACCAGCATAGAGAAGTGTATTTCTATAGGTGTTTTTGAATGTCCCACTTGAAGTATGTGAAGCTAGGGATCCAAAAGGCTTGTACAAGCTTACCCGTGCTAGAAAAATTAAAGGTGAAAGAACCAACAGACTTCCCTTTTTTCTTATGTTTCGCAAATCTTACTTTTTAAATCATCCGTAGGGTTCACTGGAATTGATGATCCTTATGAACCACCTTCCGATTGTGAGGTTAGCGTAAATATTTGAACACCTAAATGTTATCAAAAGCAACATAGTAGTATTATTGCCAGTTACTCTGTAAGACGTTCCTAGTTGTATGATGATGGGTATTAACTTCATTGATTGAGCCCTTTAACCGCTCATTGCAGATAGTGATACAGTGCAAAGCTAGTGACTGCGCCACGCCTAAATCGATGGCTGATCAAGTTGTGTCATATCTCAAAGCAAATGGGTTCTTACAGGATTAGAGACGTATGCTATGGACAAAAACATTCTGGAAATTGGATTGCCAAGGGGTATTTGAGGTAGTGTTTATATCTAGAAAGAGTGATGATAGTATGGGAACGTATTGACATAATGATCGAATATGTACATTTTTATGATAAATTGAAATGTTTCGACCCAACAAGAATGACTCATGTGGCTGTGTGCATTGATCGATGGGAGGGGGAGGGGTACCCCACCTAAATTTTGTAAAGTTTTAAACACACACAAGAAAAACTTTCTATCTAAAGAATCCCTTGAATAAAGTGGATTCTTATCATTTGATCATCCCCTTCATATTTGACTAATTCTATATAAAAAATGTGCTCCATATTTGGTACTCTCTCCATAAAGAAATATAAAGAAATATAAGAGCGTTTAGATCCCTAGTACCTAGCAGTGATTTCTATAGATATGCGCATGAGGATACCAAGAATTTTCATCGCATTTACTCAACTTCTATAGATATGCGCATGAGGATCTGCATCTGCAAACTGTAGATTAAGATATTTCATCGCATTTACTCAACCTTAGGATCTTTGAGGGACCACAGTCTACTTGAAATATTAGTGGAATACTCTATCATATGGAGATACCTTGGGGATGAGCAGCACCGGAGAAAATAATTTCATCTTCTGCCTTTGAGTTGGAATTATAGGAAACATCCATTTGCCATATTTCTGGAAGATGGATGTGCACTGACCATGAACAAGGATGCATGCAAACTTCTTTTAGGATTCAACTTTAAATTTTTCACCATCGCTTGGGTCAGTAAAATCCGGCAAAAAATCAAGAAAAAGTGAGAACAGTGTCTTGGAGCTCAGGGATGCATGTTTTACTATTTTTTTGCTGGTCAATGTTACCTGAAATCATTATGAGGTTCTAATAGGTTCGTCCTTGTAATCTGCAGGATATGATGAGGTGAAAGTGGTCACACTTCTTTATCACACCACGATTGTTGGCATGGCTAAAAACCAAACATAATTGTGAGTAGTTCAGTTGAAACCGACAGTAGAGTATATTCAAGATTAAAAAACTGAAGGTTTTTTTTACGAAATGCTAACGGTACAGCTTTTCATTGTATTAGTAAGAGCATCTATAGCAGACCCCGTATAAGTGGTCAAACATGTAAAATAACCGCTTTTAACAGTTTCAGTTGAAAAAACGGACCGAAACAGACCCCTTAAAATCGTCTGATAATTAAAAAAAATTACATGACCCTGTGAATGCAAACCCGATACCCTTCAATCTTCAGTTTTGAGGGCAATTTTGCTAGGGCCTGAATAGCAGTCAACGTTGACAGTTGAGGAATCTCAGCTCCCGCCAATGCCTTGAAGCTCGCCCCTGCAGCGATCGCACCGCCGCCGCCTGTCCGCCCGACCGTCGCCCATCGATGTGAGCTAGCTAGTTAGCTACGACCGCACTAGCTGAATCGATCCGGGCAAGCTAGCTAGCTACGGCCGCGTAGCTAGCTGAATCGATGCCAGCAAGCTAGCTAGCTAGCGACAGGCAAGCAAGCTAGCTAGCTGAGTCCGGCCGTCGCCCCCGTCGTGGCCGTCTCGCGTCTCCCTCGTCCGTCCGTCCGCTGGCCTCTATTCTGGCCGTGTCTTCCTCGTCCACACGTATGTCGGCGGTTGATTTTAAATTGGCATGAGGAAGAGGAAGAGGAAAAGGTATATTCGAAGAATATTTTTTTTTACGCATTGATTATACGGGGTCTATTCGGCCGCCACCCGTGCCAGCCCGTAAAACCGGTTTTCCGTGAGCTGTAAAAGCGATATAAGGGTCCGCGATATAAGGGGTCTGCTAGAGATGCTCTAAGAAGGGTGTATTACATCAAGATCTGTTAGCCCCCTACTATCACCTCACACTGTGTGGAAATTAATGGATTAGTCTGGCTCTCTTGGTCTAGAGATCAAACTCGCAACTGTTGGCGCAGTCCAGTACTTAGAGATGCAAGACCAAAGAGATGGCTCTCCCCTACCTACCTTCCCCTGGCTCCAACTCTTTCTCCTCCCACAAGAACTCTGATCTTGGCCTTTCCTTTTCAACACTGTCATCGACAGTCTCGATTTGCGAGAGGTTTCCATGATTGGAAGACAATTCACTTGGGCAAACAGTCTTCCGGAACCGACATATGAGAAACTAGATCGCGTTTTAATGGATACCGACTGGGAATCTAAATTTTCTATGGTGTATGTTCATGCTCTATCTCGTATCGAGGCCATATCAGACCACACACCAATTCTTCTAACTACTGGTTTGCCACGACCACAGCATAGAAGCAAGTTCAAGTTCGAACTTGGTTGGTTGCTCCGAGATGGCTTTCATGACATGGTCAAGAAGGTATGGGAGAAACCGGTGGCCGGGCATACCCCAAAACACAAATGGAATAACAAAATGCGTGCATTACGTAAATTCCTTGGTGGTTGGGCTAGGCATACAGTGGGTATCTTCAAAAAGGAGAAGCTTCGTCTTTCATCTATTATTGATGAATTAGAAGCTTTGGCAGAGGTTAGGCCATTATCTAAGCATGAAATTGAGATCAAGAGTCAATCGAATGCACAGATAGCTAGCATGCTGCGTGAAGAGGAACTCAAATGGTACCAACACTCTAACTCTCAATTTATCCTGAAAGGTGATTCAAATACTAGATATTTCCATGGCGTCGCCAATGGTAGACACCGGAAGAAACTTATTCATTCACTTCAACAGGATGAGGGCACAATTGAGGGACATGAGCAACTTAAATCTTGTATCACTAATTATTATAAAAATTTGTTCAGAGCCCCAGAGGAAGGAAACTTCTGGATGGATGAGTCTCGAACAGATGACATCCCTCAGGTCTCTGATGAGGAAAACAACCTTCTAACAGCACCATACTCCGAGGAGGAAGTTAGAAAGGCAGTTTTCCTAATGGAGCACAACAAAGCCCTGGGTCCGGATGGTTTTCCCACAGAGTTCTATCAGAACTTCTGGGAAGTCATCAAACCAGATCTCCTCCTCTTGTTTAGCTATCTACATGCTGGCCAACTAGATTCGTTTCGCTTAAACTTCGGTGAGATTATTTTATTACCTAAGGTTAATGAGGCTGAAAGGATACAACAATATAGACATATTTGCCTCCTTAATGTTAGTTTTAAAATATTCACGAAGGTTGCAACTATTAGGCTGAATTCGGTTGCTAAACATGTGGTTCGTCCTTCACAGACAGCTTTTATGCAAGGTAGACACATCCTAGATGGAGTTGTTATCCTTCATGAAATTGTCCATGAATTACATCGAAAAAAGTTGAATGGGGTCGTACTTAAAATAGACTTTGAAAAAGTTTATGACAAAGTCAAATGGCCCTTTCTTCAACAAACTCTCAGAATGAAAGGATTTTCTACAGAGTGGTGCGCAATGATCCATAGCTTCGTTTCAGGAGGCAGTGTTGCCATTAAGGTCAATGATGACTTTGGCCACTATTTTTAAACGAAGAAAGGATTGTGAGAAGGTGACTCGATATCGCCCATGCTATTCAATATAGTGGCGGATATGCTAGCAGTCATGATTGAGTGCCAAGGCTGATGAACAAATTGATGGGGTAGTAAATCATCTAGTTGATGGTGGCCTCTCCATACTTCAGTATGCCGATGATACAATTCTCTTCATGGATCATGACATCGAGAAAACGAGAAATCTGAAATTAATTTTATCAGCATTCGAGCAACTCTCAGGTCTTAAGATCAATTTTCATAAAAGTGAATTGTTTTGCTTTGGCGAGGCCCATGACGAGGCTCACTTGTACGTCGACCTGTTCGGATGCGGGTTGGGCCAGTTTCTGATCACATATTTGGGGATACCGATACATTATCGGAGACTCGCAAATGTTGAATGAAAACACGTCGAGGAGAGGCTGCAAAAAAGACTTAGCAGTTGGAAAGGTAAGTTGCTGTCTCTAGGAGGAAGATTGGTCCTAATAAATTCAATACTAAGTAATACGGTACTATATATGATCTCCTTCTTCTAGTTGCCAAAAGAAGTTTTACATAGATTGGATTATTTCCGATCAAGATTCTTTTGGCAAGGACATAATGAGAAAAAGAAATATCGATTGGCTAAATGGAGTGTGGTTTGCCGTCCCAAAGACCAAGACGGGTTGGGCATTGATGACCTTGAGGTTAAGAATAGGTCCGTACTCGGTAAATGGTTGTTTAAATTACTAACGGAAGATGATGTATGGCAAACCCTCCTCAGACGGAAATATGTGGGCTCCAAGGCAGTATCCCAAGTACATTGGAAGCCTGGGGATTCTCACTTTTGGGTGGGTCTAATGGCTACGAAGAAATATTTCTTTTGCTATGGATCTTTCTCGATTAAGGATGGCTCGGAAATTAGATTCTGGGAGGCTAGGAAATGCCACTCTCCGGGAACAATATCCGACTCTATACAACATTGTACGTCACAAGGGTGATACTATCGCCACGGTAATGGAATCATTTCCCCCAAATGTGACATTCAGAAGGGATTTATTTGGACCCAGACTACAATCGTGGAACATCCTGCTCCAGCGGTTGTCCACACTGCAATTGTCACATGGGTCTGATGTATTCCGATGAAACCTACATGGGAATGGACAGTTCTCAGTGGAGTCTATGTATAGAGCGTTAATCCAGTCTGATGTGCCAGTTGATAATAATAAGAAGATCTGAAAGATAAAGATACCACTTAATAATAAAATCTTCGCATGGTATCTTCGTCGTGGAGTCATTCTTACTAAAGATAACCTTATTAAAAGGAATTGGCATGAAAGTCCGCAGTGTGTCTTTTGTCACCACGATAAGACAATAAAACATTTATTCTTCCAATGCAAATTGGCTCGTTCTGTATGATCAGTCACCCAAATAGCTTCTAGCTCGTATTCTTCTTGTAGTGTTGCTAATGTATTTGGCAACTGGCTACATGGGATTTGATCACAGGTTTAGAATCCTTCTCAGGGTGG